AGATTTCATCTGAAAATTTATCTGCAAACTGGATGGCTCTACTAATAGGAGTGATAGTAGAATCCTGGATATTGTATCCTAAAAACCTTACTGAGGTTTGGAACAATTTAATCTTGGATGCAGATAATACTAATCCATTTTGTTGGATAATTGTATTGAAAGCATAGAGGTGCTTCCAATGTTCTTCTATTGTCTTGGAGAAGATAAGTATATCATCTATATAGACAATAGAAAAATGACTGATACAATTAAAGACTTCATTCATTATGTTCTGGAATTCACTTGGGGCATTTTTTAACCCAAAAGGCATGACATTCCATTCATAATGTCCGAAAGGAGTGGTAAAAGCGGTTTTATACCTATCCATAGGGTGGATCTGTATTTGCCAAAAACCACTTTTAAGGTCAAATTTGGAAAAGATAGTAGACTTATTGAGTCTTTTTATCAAATCCTGTTTGTTAGGTATAGGGTACCTTATCCATTCTAAAACCTTGTTTAAAGGTTTATAGTTTATGACTAACCTTGGGACTCCTCTTTCTAATTCTGCGTTTTTGACTACATAGAAAGCAGGACAAGACCAAGGTGATTTGCTATTCCTAATGATACCATTTTTTAGTAACTCTGTGATTTCTTTTTTACAAATCTCAGTAGTTTCATGGTTCATTTGGATTGGTCTAGACTTAGTGGGAATATTGTCTTCCTTAAATCCTTTGACATAAGGAAGTCTAACCATGTGTTTCTTCCTATGCCAGAATGCTGTAGGAAGGGAGGAACAAACTTCTGATTCTAGTTTTTCCCTAAACCTATCAATCTTTTGTTGTAAGATTGGGTTGGTTAGGTTTTCTTTAGTTCTGAGGTGGTTAATCTCTTGTTTAAGAAATTCCACTTGTTTAATTTTTCTGTTTATAACATTAAGGGACTGTGAGACAGAAACGTCTTTTAGCTGCCTTAAATGTTTTTTCTCTGGTTTAGTGATAAATGTAAATACAATTTTTCTCCCAAAATGCTTGGTTGATATTCCATCTGTATTTGTACTAAAAGGGTACAAAAGATATATAAATGGAAGACCAAGTATAACAGAGTCAGTCATGTCTTTAACAAGTAAGAATGATGTTTCAAAACATACATCTTGTTGACATACATGAACTCTTGGAAGTTTGTATTTAACATTCATTTTACTGCCATTAGCAGAACTAATTCTTTCTAATGTTTTTTCATAAAACATGGTTGGAATTAATCCTTCTTGGATGCAGTTTACATCTGCTCCAGTGTCTAATAAGGCAATAACAGTAATATGATAACTGTTGTTAATGATTAATTTTACTTCAACATGCCATTTTTGGACAGTTAAAGAGTTAATCAGACTAATTCTTTTATCATCATTAGTGCCTACTTCATGGAATGAAGGCAGGTTCGTTACACCAGAAGTTTCCGTCTGAAAGGAGGAGGTTACTGGTATCCCCTGTGTAAAGCATTGATGATCAAAAGGATTAGTAAAATCTTCAGTCTGATCTTCTGGATCAGAATCCTGGGATTTTTCAGAATGTTTTTCTGTTTGTAAAAGAGTTAAAGCTTCAGCAAATTTTTTGTCTTGAGCTTTTAAATCTTTTATTTCTAGTTTAAGCTTATTAACTTCACTCTGGAGATCTTGTAAGGTGATTTCTTTTTTCTTTTCCTTACTAAATCTTTCCATAGTTTTGTTAAGGCTTATTAATGGTTTTTCTATAATAGGTTGCTTATTATCCTTTTTACTGAAAAGGTTTCTAAGCTGTTTTACATACTTATCTTTTAGATCTGGATCCTCTATCTTGGAGATCAAGTCTATAAGTATGTGTTCTTCATTTTGTTTAGTGATTACCCTGACTTGTTTTTGACAAGAGCATCCTATTTTAATTCTAGGTTTATCAGGGTGATCAGAGGCTGAATAATAATCTGAAGAGTCTGAGGTGTCTACTGGACTGTTTGATTCTTCAGAACTTTCCAAATTATTTATCCTAAAGATTTCAAGGATTCTGTCCTCATCATCTTGGGATAAATTTAATCTTTTGACTTGTTTTTTAACTGGACAATCAGGACTAATGTGGCCTGGTTTTCCACAGTTAAAACATTTAATATCATCTTGGGCTTTCCCCTTTCTTTTTTTATCTGTCCTTTTGGATCTAAAATTTCTTCTAGTTTTTTACTTGAAGATTCAGGTTTAGATCTTTTGGCAGTTTTATGGTGAGGGAAAAATCTTTGGTAAGATTTATTTTTAGAATAAGGCTTATGTGTTTGGATTTTCTGTGTTTCTTATGGGAAGGAGCTAATGGCTGTAACCCATATTGTTCACAAAAATTACCTAATTCATATTTAGCCTTATGTTTTTCATTTGTTAATTGCTTATTGATTCTCAAATCAACACACCATTTTAATCCTACATTCTGGATGGTGCTAATGAGTTCTCCATAAGCAAGATTATCATATTCAATGATTCCTGTGTCTTTGCTAAGGGCTTCTCTAACCTTATGGGCAAAGAGATTAGGTAGTCCATTAACAAATTTTTCTTTCCAGAAAGCTTTTTGGCAGTCTGGGCGAACCATAACACGAGAAACAAAGACATCTTTATACCACCTAAAGTCACTAAGTGTGGGACATTTTAGGTTGGTCAATTGGTCATGGATCCTAGCAGTTATGCTACTAGGAGTGCCAACAAAGTGTTTGATGATGGTGAATATAAGGGTATTACATCCATCAGGTCTAGCTGTTCCAATCCTTTCATCAAAGATTGGAAGGCCTTCATCATCTTTGAGAACAGCATTAATGATACTGTCTCTTTGTTCCTGGTTTAAATAATTATCCCACCAATTTCTAAGAACACCTGTAAATCCTGAAACTATTAGTTTGACAATCTCAGGTTCAGGGCTATCTAGATTGGTCATATAATTATTTAACACCATGGATAGATGACTGATTTTATTAAGAATTTCCTGTTCACTTAGACCATCTATGTTCCATTCATAGAGTCTGTTGGACTGAACAGAAAATTGGTTTAGTACATTTTTTTCTTCATACTGAAGATCTGGTGGAGTAGGTCTAGAATACCAGTTCTTTGTGGAGCTGGTAGGGACTCTAACCAGTGCATTGATTTTAGAATCAGGTTGGGTCATACTGTGATCCTTAAACTGATTTTCTAAGTTTTTTATTTCAGAGTCAGAATCAGTGGTGTCTTCCGGACTACTGGATTCTGCATTAGACTCTGAACTTTCTTCAGTTTGGTTGATGACTGTTATCTGAGAAGTACTGGTAGATTCCTTCTTTGATAAGAGTGCATCAATTTGTTGAATTAGATTTTTATCTTTTAAACCTAAATTCTTCCTTTCTTCAGGTAGGTTGACTAGAGGTCTTTCTACTGAAGATGGTTTAATTTCATCTATTTTAGTTTCAATTTTATCCAACTGTTTACCTATAGTAATCAGGCTTTGGTTGGTGTAATTGACCTGTTCAACTATCTTCTTTTCAGATTCTAAAACTGGAATCTTAAAGGGAGTAGCAGTAACAGTTTTGGTAGCATATTTAATTTCAATAGTTTCTGCTGGGGGGTGACTAGAGGTTACCATAGCAGATTCTGTTTTCCAATTTTGCTGAGTTACTACTTTTACTTCTTTGTGGAAGTTTTTTAAGTAGTCTTCTAAAGCAATCTCAGATTCTAATTTATACATTAAAGAAATCCATTCTTTTTTTATTTTTCTTGATTTTTACAAGGTAGAGATTCAAAAGCTTTCCTAAGAGGTTTGTTCTCAGGGGTTTTGAAATTCTTTTTCCCTAGTGATAGTGTATAATTGATGGATTTTGCTAGATTCTACATTTCCATCAAAGGCACTAGCAGTGGGTGACAGAGAAGGTGAAGGAGTGAATTCATCATTCTCTGTTTGTTTGAATTCTGTGTATCTAGACCTTAATGGTACACTTATGGGAGTGTATACTGGCCTAGCTACTGGGTGAGAGGAATTAGCGATTCCTTTTAACCTATGGTCAAGTTCTTTGGCAATTTCTCTGTCTCTATGGGAAACAGATGAGAAATCAGATTTCCTTCCTTCAGGAACCTGATCATGCCTGGGTGTGAACCTACTAGATCTACTGGATCTAGCAGTATCAAAAGATATTTTAACCGATCCATCAGGGAGCTGTCTGATAGTTTCCAAATCAGTTGTAGTTGACTCGGTACTAGATTCTTTATCAAAATTTTCATTCTGCATGGTCCAAGATTCTGGTAAGGTCACATCTTTCCAAAGTATCTGTTTTGGAATTTGGATGTTGGTCTGTGCAGAACTGACTTGTATTAACATAGTACTTCCCTTAGGACTTGGGTCAAGGCATTGTACATTAAGATTAGTACGAATACACTTGTAGTAAATCCTGCAAATAAGTACTATGGAACTAGTGTTTTTTACTAACCTGGTAATATCGCTTGTAAGACGGATACCAAGAGTTAGTGTCATGTGTGTGTTAGGACAATGGAGGTTAAGGGTAAAGTCAGGGAAGCAGTTAAAGTAGACTGGACCTCTGTGGAGTCCTGTCTCCATGATTCCCAAGACACTTGGTTCCCAATCTAGAAACCTTGCATCTCTTAGTGCTAGTAAGGCAGCAGCATTTCTGCCTTGGGTGATAAGTGGTTTAATGACCACTTGGACAAGACCTATGTGGATAAAATTAAATCCTTTGGCCTTGTGAATCTTAAAAGTCTCCTTAGTGAGGAGCTCACACTAAGGAAAAGGCAGCCAGATGCACTTCCAGTCTTGAAAATGAAAAACTGAATTAGGGAACAGTGGATAGTCTCATCAAAGTTTGAAAAGTCTCAATTCAACGGCCCAGCTTAAAGCGCTTTTATCCAAAAATCTTAGGAATTCGATATTCCTTTTGTATTTTTTATGCTTTCAACAAAGGCTTAAGTTATTTTCAGATAGAGGATTCAACACCAATTTAAACTTGCTAGGTTACAAGTTAAACCACACACACACATTCTAACGATAGTGGTGAGCTATCTTTTGCCTGAAATTATCAAAAACATTGTCTCCCAGTATACTTCCTTTTCTGTCTTCCTGAACATCAAGAGCACACTCCCAAGAACCTCGACCAGCTAAGTTCAAATGATAACATCTACATATTGTCTGACACCTACGTCCAAACAGATAATGTCAAAATCCAAAATAGGCACACACCTTATTCTCCAACATCCGGCCTAGCCTCCTCTTCTCCTCAAGGTCTCCAGCATGGCGATTTCTGGTTAGCTCAATCTCTTGCTGCAGATCAGAGTTGAACACCCAGGTTATTGCATTTACACAAATCACTAGGATATATAATGAAAACAGATTACTTCATAATCATTTATTAACTGGTAACAAAGATAAGGAGTGGAAACACTAAAGGTCATTGTTTATTTTGTCGAAAACATCATAACAAATGCGAACAAAGAAACATCTTCAATGCACTACCTGTTGCTCACGTTCATGAAGAGCCGTCTCTTCCACTGAACGCTGTAGAAATGCAGCTTCAATAAGAGGAGCTGCCTCTTCTCTTTTAGCCCTCTCCAAGTAGTCCATTGTTTTGGCAAGTTTCTGCAACTTTTTCTCCATTTCTTGCCTCTCCCTGACTTGTTCGCTCAGAGCCAACTCCATTAAGGTCTGCTTGGTCATCTTTTCCTGGATCCAAAATAAAAGATCAGGAAAATCTGCCAAGTCCTAACGAAAGTAGAGCAAAATGAATATTTACTCACTCCCTCTATTACTGGCTTCTTCCCCTTTTTTCTACTGCGTTTTTCAGCTTCCTCCAGTAAAGCTCGGGCCTCTTCAAGTTCCCGCTCCTCTATTTCCCTAAGGATCCTTTGTTTGTTCCTCTGTTCATACTCGGAGGCAAGCCTTCTTTGTTCTGCCTCTTCAGTTATCTTCTGTAGTTTTAACCTCTTTGATTCTTCCTCTCGTTCCTTAAATCAATAAGTTCGATAACAAAATTTGTTTTACGGTACAATAACTATGAATTATCAAACCACAAGCAATCAACTGAACCACCAGTTTTACAGGTGAATACCATCTCCAGAAGGTGACGCTCTTGTTCTTCTTTGCGTTTCTCAATTATAGACTTCCGGGCAAGAAGCCTCTTGTGTTCCTTATCCACAATTTCTGCTAAAGCTGGCAGTGTTTCCCCTAGTTTGGATGCTTTCTTCACAGGAGGGTAGATCATGGTCCTTACCTTGCTCAGAGATTCTGCAAAAATGGCCAGGTGATCTCGTAGGCCATCAGATTCAAGACCCTGAAAACAACATAATTGTTAGAGTTCCTATTTTTTCATAAGTTAATTAGTATAGGGTAATACTGTAACTACCCTAAATATTGCTCAGTCATAAATAAGATGGTGTAGGGCAACATAGCCTACTGCCTACACACCGATTATTCTCCATCTTTTCTTCTCTCTTCCTATTGCCTCTTATTCTTCTTATTTACAAACCCTAATACTATCTGTTCAACTTCAACTTGCTATCAAAACACTAATCTGGCTTCACATACTACCTGAACACATCGTAGAAGGACCTGGGTTTTTTTTTTCCAGCTGTTGTCACTGTCAGAGATGATGTCACACGGACACAAGAACCACACCTCCTGGCTCGAAATTCATGGTGGTAATTGTGGTGATTTTTATTTATTTTTTTGAAATCATTTGAATAAGGTTTGCTATTTTTGAATGTTTTTCGGAAAAATTAGGGTCGAATGGTTTGACCCGCTGATTTTGGGCAGATCTGGGGGTTTCTTGGGTTTGATCTGCCGCAGAAAGGTGCGACTTGGAGTTGTGTGGGTTGCTGTGTGATTCCCAGTTGTTCGGGAGTGGTTTCGGTATGGTTTAAGGGCAACAGGAGGTGACGGCAGTCTTCTGGGAGCTCTCCACCACCTGGGTGTCTCTCGGGTCTTTGCTTCTGGGACTTTTTTTGGCCCTATTGTTGATTTTGAGGCCTTGTGTTGGGTTTCCAGCCATTGGGTAGGCTTCCTGAGATCTCCTGTGTGTGCTTCTTGTGCATGCTTGCTGTTTTTTTTTTTTTTTGGAGCAGAACAATCTTCTGCCTGTGTGTGGTTGTTTCTGGTTGCAAGTTCCGGAAAGTTTTATATTTTCTTCCAGAAAGTATTTCTGGTTGCAAGTTGTTCTGTGGTAATTGTGGGGTTTATTATGGCGATGTCGGATGAGGTAAAAGGTTCACCAGTGGCTGATCCGGTCCGCCAGGTTTATTCCGTTAATGATCAGATTCGACAAATTACAAATGTAAGGCTGAATGGCACTAACTATTATTCTTGGTCTCATGCTTTTAAAGTTTTTTTGCGGGCAAAAAGGAAGGTAAAGTACTTGACTGGGATCCTCCTACTGAGAAATCAACATGTGAAAAAGACTGGTGGAGTTAGAATTCCTTGGTGATGACCTAGTTGTGGATTAGTATGTAACCTTTGATGGCTTCTAATGTTCAATTTCTTGATATTGCTAAGAAGATTTGGGACTCTCTTGAAGAGATGTATTCACAACAACACAAACCCAGATCTATGAATTTACCTGCTAAGAAGATTTGGTTTCTATTATTTGAGCAATAGGTCCAAAATTACTGCCGTATGTGAATTAACCTGATATTATCCTTAAAAAAATTGTTGGATCTTATAATGTGTTTCAATCCAGTTCAACCACCCACCCAAAGGTCTACTAAATCTGTATCTTTAGGTTGAGCATGTTATCATTATTAAAGTAGTTCTCCACCAACAATCATAAAATTTATGAATGATATCATTTGTTTTTGTCATGACATGGCCACAAAAGAAAATAGCAGTGAAAATAAAAATGACAACCAACCTGTTTACCAAACAAAACTGCACCCTTCAAATGGTCAATTTTCATAGTTAAGAAATTATGTTTGACGGCATCAACAGAAATCTTTTCCACAGCAGCAATGTCAGAAAAGGGAATCATCCCAGACAGGGTCTCAATCTTCATTGTTTGATACACATGAGACACCTGGAAATATGGAGGCAACAAAATCATAAACACGCAATGAAATGCACAGAAAATGTAGAGCATATGATATTCACAACAAACTAGGGATGTAAATAACAGTATTCACACCTGCTGCAGCAATCTCAAAGTGCCAAGCTTTTCCAGAGCAGGACCATACTGAGACAATTGCACTTCTGGAACAGAAGAAGCTGAAGAAAGTTTACCCCCAAGCTTCAAGATTTTTGTTAACAAGGGCTGAACTTTTGATGCAAGATCCAATGGGAGAAACTCATGTTCCAAAAGATGGTATAGATCTTTCACTTCCTGATTTACACAGGTCATTACACCTTTGGAGACCTGTCAGCAAATATACAAGGAAACCACGTTGAGAAGGAAGTTGTACATAATGATAGATATAACATGTACAAGCATTTTTGACACAGTTAATCATGAAAGCCTATTTTCTTGTTCTAATCTTACAACCATTAGTGAGTGCATCACAATCAAAGAGGAAATTTAATCTAAAAAGTGAGCAATGGGAGCAGGGAAAATAAATTAGCCACAAAAAGGGGGAAAACAAGGATCAAAAGAAAAATGGCAGCAATGAGAAATAAAATCTTACCAGTTCTGAGAGCAGTGAGGCACGCGAAAGCTGAAAATAATAGAAGCTATCTGTATGAGAGAGCTGAAATTCTAACGAATAACATGAAAACAAACTCAATTAGAATTAAGTTACCACTTCTCTGCTCTCAGATTTAGGTTCAACATTAAATCCAATAAGATTAGCCATCCTCAAGTTCCGCTCTTTCTCATTTTCAAGCTCCAAATGGGATGCACCGTACGAGTAATCATAGGGGGGCACTGAAAGTGCAGCCAAGACAACAGATGATGCTATCAACTGCAAATCTTTCTGGCTTAAATTCTTATTAAAGCTTTTCTGAAGTGAGAAAAGCTTGAGCCATGCATAAGCATGATAGAGATGGCTCGATGAAATCCAGAATATTTCCGTTAGCTTGGCGTAATAAACAACCATCAAGGACGGTTTGGGGGTTTTCTTAACTATGCACATCAATCCATGAATATCTTCAATTGAACGAAAAGCTTCCTGCAGGAAATGTCATGGAAAGCAACGATGAATGATCCATGTCTTTGAGCACGGCAAAAGGGTATCATATGTATGCATCAATTCATATCCATGTGTACGAAGGTAAATTGAAAAGAGAAACCAACACGAACCTGCCAGAGTTGAAGTTCAGTGGCAACTTTCAGCTGCTCAAATCTTGTGTCAAGATACAATTGCAAGCTTTCTGGAGAAGACAGATCAGGCCGGTCCCTTTGGTCTCTATACTTGTTAAGATTAGCAAGATGATTCCTGATAATTTCGCATAGCCGTCGAAATTCTGTTGTCCGTTTATATTGCTTACAGAACTGGAAGGCGCGATGTGCTGTCATCTACGATATCAAATTGAAGCTTAGGACAGACACCTTTCCAAGATTGTAAATAGATAAATACACTTTAGATCCATCCGAATGAAAGCAGCAAAACAGAATTGCTTTGTGCAATGACAAGCAGGACATGATAAACTGACAGAAAGGTTCTTCAGTCGCACTTTATATTCTAGTTGCTTAAATCAGAAGGCGTGCCTATTAGGTCAGCCCCAGATCCACAAGGTTTCTACCTTAAGTTGGCTTTAGTTTTGTATTTCTTATCTCTTTTTGCAAGTTGGAGTGTACAGTGTTGTTGGGACTTGACCTATCACATACGTTTTTTGACATTTGTCTATTTAGCTAGTTGGCATGACAGATTCCACCAATAATCAAACGATAAAGTGGCCACATGATCCAGAGTGCAGAGAAAAAGTTTCACAGGTAAGCCTATGCACCACAATCAGAATAAAGGTACCTCATATGGAGTACAAGTTTAACCTTATGTGTGAACAAAATGATACCACACAAACATATGATAGATGGTACATTAGAATATGTTGACACTTCATGTTTTCTTTTTCTTTTTATGCAATTAAAAGAAATGGGCACAGTACAACCCACCAAAAACATAAACTGAATTCAAATGTACATCATTTGCAAATGTGGGTTGAACAGTGAGAAGTAGGGGAGTCAAACGTGTCGGGTTAAACGGTTACGTGTAGGATTAAACGAGTGACGGGTGAAAAACATGTAAACCCATACACGACATGTTTAATAAAGGGGTGAAAAATTTTCACACGAACACAACTCGTTTAACCCGTTTAATTTTTAAAAAAATTATATCAACAAATTTTAATATACCACTTTTTTTACTGCCTATTGTATTTACCTCAAAAAAGAGAAATCTCTAGCCAAATTTCACATAAAAATCAGATTTGAAAGCTAAAAAAAAAAAAGCAAAAGGCCACTGCCTTTTATAGCCAAGACAACCCTCCCCATCTCCCCTCATTTGCCGATGTGGAACAAAAATAAAAAGGGTTGGTTTGCCTTTGTTATGAACTGCTCTCATCTCCCCTCCTTTGTCTTTGAACTACTATTGTATTGATTTCTTTACTTTTTTTTTTTTTTGCTAATTTTTTAAAACAATTATTAATTTATTATTATATTAATTTTATTTATATGGGTAAATGTGTGATAAACGGTTTAACAAGTCTCACCCGAACACGACCCATTTATTAAACATGTTTGACGGATCAATCCGTTTACCACCCAAAACCGTTAAGATCTCATCCAAACTCGCTTAATTCGTGTCGATTCGTGTCGGTTAATCGTGTCATGCTGAATTTTGACAGGCCTAGTGAGAAGTCTTCAAGTCATAACTAATACAAGATAATGATAACATTGCAATTATAATTTATAGTTCCTCGCTGGAATAGATCCAGTTCTGTAACTCTACTATATCTTAAAAATAACAGCATAGGCAAAGTTCTTGTAATTAAAATATAAAGAAAGGTAGACTAGTTATATTATAGAAATCAAAACATACATGACTAGTATTAATTATGCTGACATAAATGTATTTCTTGCTAGTTAGATTCTTGTGCATATAACAAAACAACTGAAAGTCAAAAGATGACAAGATTACTCTACCTTTGGTACCTCAAAAGCATTTAGAAAACTGAATAAAAATAAAACTTATTATATATGCTATTGGCAAACTGAATAAAACAATATTAGCAAAAAGAAGAAAGACCAACTGCTTACTGCATACAGAGCCTCCAATCTCGAGTTGTTTCTTAAAATTTCCAGGACTGTTCTGTATGTCTCCCACAGGAATTTAAACCAAGGGGTGACCAGCTCACGGTCAGATCTATCTTTTCCTTTCTCCCCACTAACATAACTCAACATTAGATCTTCAGGCCTCTTGTCCGCTTCTAGGTCATCGACATCAAGAGCTTCTTCCAAGGCCTGTGCCTGACTTCGGGCCATTTCAGCTCTCTCCGTGGCCAAATGCATGAAATGTTTGATCACCTCCTCCAACGAACTAATGTTGACTTGTTGGCAGACAATACGGTACTGAATCAAACCATCCTTGGCAAACCTTCCCCTCCTCATGTCAACACATAGCTCGACATACTTGAACATAATCCTCTCGAGTGTCTTTTGCCATGCTCTGTATCTCTTTGAGGTAATGAGATCATGAAGTGCTTGCAAGGCATCTTGCTTTTGTCCAACATTGATCAATTCTGCATCCAGGAAATACAATATTGTGTCTCACGTCTATAACTCAAAACCAGGCCAAAATTCATGCAAAATGATGTCAATACTTGTTCACCAAAGGCAGGAGAGCATGTGATGGCAACACAACAGTTGATAAAGCAAAAAACAATTTGCTAATTTTAAGTGTGTTTCCACCACATAATGACATGGAAAACTATACTTACCACTTCTATGACAGAATTATGAATCAAATTTCTCATATTACATATCATTTTCAAAGTAAAAGACATATAAGTCTTTATCACACAAGGCAAAAATTTGGTGTCTAAGAAGCTCTCAAATTTCAGCCAGGCTGCACAAAACAAATGTTCGGAAACAATCATAAGATTGTGATGTGAGATATAATATATAATTTTAATTTAATTGAAAAAAAAAAGAGATGAATATTATATTGCACCAACTAAATCCAGCTTTCAAGGGGAAAAAAAAAGCAACACTCAATAACTCAAGCCGAATATTCAAAATCCACAAACTCAGAAAGGATATATGCATGATGAATAAGTCATATTCACCTTCGGCTCGCTTCAAAGCATTCTCAGGTTTTGCAAAAGTAGCCATATTTGGTACCTAGTCGATCAGATTTTTTGCCTGCCAACGAGACAGCAATTATGAGAAATCAGTAAAGATCCACACAACTTGATCATAACTACATCAACAAAACAAAACCCAAAAATGGAATAGATCTGATATTTTTCATCAGTGAATAGAACATGTATAAAGCTGCAGAAAAGCCACACATGCCGGTGGCAACAGAGAACCAATGAAAACCATAGCTAACTAACACAAATTTAGGTAATGTAAGCGGTGCTCTTCACTTCATAGGCTTGTATCTGTAATCTTTTCTTCAAGCCTGCCCAATTAAATGAAATGAAAGTACTTTACGGTTTGATTTAATATCCAGAACCAGAATAACATGGTGAAGCAAAAAAAATATGAAAGAAAGACATGAATAAAGATTGATCAACAGCAATAAACACAAATGAAAAAAAAAAAAAAAAAAAACAAAACAAATACCAGTGGAACAAAAGACAGTAAAATTAGACAGATTAATTTTAATCACATCGCCCTGCATCCTAACAATAAAAATTAACACAGATAAAAGACTAGAAAGCTAAAACTAATTTTTACAATGATTATATACTTCCAAAAAAAGAGAGAGATAAGTAACATCATCTGATCATAGTAAAAAATTATGTCAACAAATATAAGAATCAGATTTTAAGTACATGAGGAAAAGAATAGTAATGGTCAGAGATGGTGGTATTCAAGATGCCCAATTATAGCTACTGTTCCATGCAAATAAAAAATCTTGGGCGGCTACAATACAAAGAAATACTCTAAAGAAACACTAGTTCGACTAATAGAATAATGCTGGAGGTATTACAATTTTAGAATCCATCAGGGTTAGGATTCCTTAATATCAATTACAATCAAAATATATTAAATGAGAGATTGGTTTAAATCTCCAACATCCAGCAATATATGAGAGTGCATAGAAGAGGGAGTGAGAGAGGTGACTCCATACCTCAGATTATGATGGTCAGTGCATGAGATGAGGAGACAGCCGAGACTAGAGATAGCGAATAAAGAGAGACTTCGGACTTCCCAGTTCGGAGCTTCGGAGAATTTGATGATGGTGGTGGTGACTGCCCTGAGACGATCGATTCGAGAGATGGAGATGAACGTCGAACAGTGCAGAGAGGGAGAGGGAGAGGGAGAGAGAGAGAGAGTGAGAGACAGGAGGCTAAGAGCTGAGGTTGGGAAACGATTTGCGAGACTAGGGCAAAAAATGCCCAGAAAAATCTTGCATTATAAACTTTTCAGTGAACCTCCGGTTTGATGTAACCTCCCGGTTCGAATGGTTTATCTAAAACCGTCCGGTTCAACGGATATACAACTGATGACCGATCTGATTTACCGAGTTTCCAGGTCAATTCGTAAAGCCGGGACGGGTTTTAAAACAACCCGAACACTACAATTACAAATGAATCGACTATTTTACAGTAACAGTTGGGATATAGGCTCATGACATATGGACCGGGTATGAACCGCTGAGAATGCCGGTTATCCAGTTGAATGTGGTCCGAATGAGAGGAAAAATAAAATAAAAATAATTAATAAGTCATAAGTCTTATAAAATTTTAGAGGTTTTTAAGGGCGGGTAATTAAGAGGTCGTTTGGTAACGTTTTTATTTTACTTCTTCAAAAAATCAAAAATAAAGACAATTTTTTGTCTCTGTTTTGTGGTAAATACTGAAACAGAAAACATATTTGGTAGTCATTTTTGTCTATCAAATTTTGAGAATAAAAACAGAAAACATGTTTGGTAACTATTTCAAATTTTATCCTAAATAGACTCATTTGGTTGTCGTATTAGAAATGGATGGATTAGATATAATAATACAGTCTAATACAATACGAAAGGACAAAAGACAAGATTAAATAGGGTATTAGAATAATACGTAATTTTATTACACAATATAAGTGTTGGATAGTAGTTATTTAATCCAAGCGGTTATTTGGTTAGAGAATTATTTTATCGTATTAACGTTGAATTAACAAAAATATTCTCAATCAGTGTTTGTTACATTGATGACAACTTAATTTTATCAGTTAAAGGGTTATAATAGTAAATGTGCAAAATAATACGTTTGAGTTAGATTATAATATCACTTCTCTTAATAGTATTAAAAAACTTCCATAATACAGAGCTATCGTATAAAAAATATACGATAAGTATACGATCAATATTTGAAATTAATGCGGTTTCAAATTTGCTTACCAAACAAAGTATTAGACCCGATTAAATAAAAAATAGTGCAATCCAATATTTAATTCTCTCATAATACCTCTACCAAACGAGCCCAATATGTTTTATAATATCTCATTTTTGTTTTCAAACAAATCAACACTTTATTTTATGAAAAATGATTTACAACCATGAATTAAAGACCTTCAACAAAGCACCAATCTTACACAGCCAGATTTCTAAAAAAAATTAGCCATGAAATTTGCCTCCCTATACACATGCCCAAGCTGATATTACAAGAACACCTAAATGAAGAACCTAACTCACCCAAAAGGTCTTAACCTGCACCTTACCGCAATCAATCTCCAAATCAGACAACCTAAATAAAATACAAATATACGTTATATTACATCAAAATATAAATTCAAACATTCCTTAAACCAAAACATCCACTAATTTATCAAGTAACATCTAAAGAAAGATAGTTATATTACATAAGTCAGTAATCACATTCATACATCATAGTGTCCAACATACAGCCCCTAAGTTCAGACATTTATACGTTATATCACTTAACTAAAATTCCAATAATTAATACAAATACCACGAACAATAATGCACAAATAAAGATCAAATTACATCCACAACAAGCAAGCATGAAAATAGTAATCCCTTTCTTCTCTCTCCATCTTAACTAGGCTTGATTAATCACATGTTGTTCATTTGTAATTGTGTTGTACTCATCAACGCATATGAAACAATTACCATGATCACGCCATCGTGGACAACGATAAAAAGTTCGTCCATTGTTTCGTTTGGTCCTTGCGACCAAATTATTCATGTTATCGGATCCACACGAGCATGGAGGACCAATACGTGTCATTATAACACACCTAATTACATTAATATCAACAAGTAAAAATTAGTTATATAAACATATTATTGAATATAACAATGCAAGTATCAACACATTTTTACCATCATAATAAATAATAACATTAGGACATTTATCAATGGTGAGTTGATGCTCACAATTGATTAGAAATTGTATCTCTGACATGAGCCATTTGACGCAGCTGACTCGGACTTATGTTTAATTCTATTGGGACCTATGAACTTAATCCAACAACAGTTCTTTCACTATCAACAAATTTTCTTCTTTCTCGGTCGTCAAATTACTAATCTCGACGAGAATGCATTCTTATGAAGTTATGCATTGTATAACATGCTGTGGGAATGTATTTCTATATGGTTAGGGGATATGAAGGCATTAGCTTCAGAATGGAAAAATGAGCCTTTAGAACTCCAAAATAACGCTCTATCACATTCCGAAGCGAAAAGTGCCAATAATTGATTAATTCTTCTTTACCGGTTGGTTGTCGGCCCCTACCTCTATAATCACACAAGTGATATCTCTCACCACGATACGGGGACAGAAAATCAGGCATGTTTATGTAGCCCGAATCCACAACATAATATTTACCTTCTGGCGGTATTGGAAACTTGTTGGCTGGATTAGCAACACACTCAACAAATATTCTTGAGTCATGAGCAGTACCAAACCACTCACTCATCACAAACATAAAGTGCATGTCAAAGGAATATGCACACATTATATTCTGAGTTAGTACAATATGCTTCCCATGGTACGGTATCTGCGAATCCACTGCAACACGTGCATCAATGTGGGTGCCATCAATGGCGCCAACACAATTCTTCAAAGAAAAAGAAAAACACATGAATGACATTGAAAGTAGTATTTTGTTACAACATATATTGCAAATTACTATCACTTACCTTAAAGAAAGGGTAATATCTTGGGTTGAAATGAATCTAAGGTTGAACCATACTAAAATTGGGAAGGCTGATGATATCAACTCCAGCCTACAAATTGCTTTCAAAACACGATTAAAGTATTTGAAAATGGTCTCCCCCGAATGTTGAAACCTTTTAGCTACTATGCAATTTCGCTCATTATGAGATATTGTAAGTAAAAATATAGCAACTTGTTCTTGCACGGTTACAAACCTAGAGTGTTTCGACTTATTTCTTTTAATATTTCACATAACAACACGAACACAAGTGTGTCCATTCTAAATTGCTCATAGCACCTACTTTCATGTCCATGTAATAACTCCAACATGTAATCATGCCCTTTAAGAGCAGATGTTCTACATGGTCGTAGTGATGTATTGTGACTATCTAATTCTATTGCAGTCAATACAATAGAAATCTCATCATCACTATCTAATATGAGCATATCAAATTCTTCATCTGAATTCATTATTGAATATTCAAGTCTACCTGTAATATCCATACATAATGCATTTATCAGACATTTATCACAACACATTATAAATATGCATAATAATTAAACTTCAATCCAAAAGCACGCATAATACCAAAGTACACAGACTCCAAAAGTACACATAATCTCAAAGTACACATCCAAAATGCTAGGCTAAAGTACAACCATCACAGGTTAGTAACAAAATCCTTCTTCCTATGATCTAGCATAGACAAGAACATCTTCCTATAACTCATACCATATCCAAATAGCTAAATGGCCTGTGTATATGAAGCTCCATCAATGTCCTCGAGAGAATTCAAAGCAGCCACATATTTTTCTAACAGATCATCAGTAACAGCCTCACTATCATCACATGAAGTCGTCGTCATAGACACACTAGACATCTTATAATCAATATACTCTGACTTCTTCTTTGAATTCTCAACCAACGCATTAAGGGCAGATATAAGTGCGTCCCTATAGTTACCCTTCTTCTTACGACGACTAGTTGTTGGAGTGGTAGACCTACTTCGAGGATGGTTGTTTGTCCCTTTATCAACTTTCTCCACATTCTCCTCATCATCATCAGCCTCAAGTGATGGATCAAAGGTAGTGTCTTTATCTTCCTCATTGTCCGATAGAGGTTGGGCGAATGGATGAGCATTATCACTAGTTGTCATTATCTTTTCATAAATCGTACACAGTTTCTCGTAATGTGGACACCTTTTTTTCCTGAATTGTCTAGCATGCTTATTAACCTATATTAAACGAAAATAATGAAAGGTAAGCAATACTTATTAACCTAACACCATTTGTCATTATGGTTAAAAAAAATGGATATTAATCAATACTAAAGCCTACCTTACACAAATCCTTCCAAACCTCATCCTCCAAGACAATTGTTTTCTTCACGGGATCCCAACCAACTCCAGTTTGATTCAACAGTTTCTTGAAAGCATGGTAAATAGGTCTCAAATTATTAAACTTCCTTCGCAATTGTTCATATGTGTAGTTGTACCCCGTGCTTAATTGCACGTTTCTTACGAGATTGTTTCACCCAAGTTTGGTAAAAGTAGTATTTGGTCTATTCCCCGCTGCTACTTCCGTATCCATCAAGTCAATGAAAAGTGTCTCCTTATCGGACTTCCATAAGGCTACATTTTTTTCATTGTCAACCTCTACGACCTCATCATCGTGGGTTTGTTTGTTACCCGTTTCCATCTACAACAATTTTGTCAATTATACTAACAACTTCCCAACCACTACACATAACTATGCTAACAATTCACAAAATGCAACATGGATCAAGGTGTACAAGTACACAAATCTAAGTTAACATCAAATCCAAGTAATGCATTGATAGACAAAAGAAAAGGTGAAAAGAATAAATGTAACCACCATCAATACATCATCATCCTAATATGAGCATCATTTAGTACAACTTAAAATTTAACCAACTAATTAGCAAGTAATCTATTTTTATGTTACTGTATTATATTCCCCTTAGCAAGTAATGCATTGATAGACAATTACCAATATATTTGTGAATCATATCATAGAATCTGCACGCTGGTTTTGATTTCCCTAAATCCCCTAATGGAGAGACACTAATCTATTTGACAAAGAACCTCACAATGAGGAATTATCCATTATCAATCAATAGAAGCTAATAAGAACAATAAGGGGGGAATTCAATCCAGTTCAATCAACAACAAAGGAGGTAGAAAAT